GCTAAAGCACGCGTTGCCGAATGGGTGGCGCTTCGAGGCAAGGCGCGGGCGGAGCCCGCCAATGAGTTTCAGATCGTGGGCGAGGACACCCGAACCAGTGTAGCAGCTTGTCCCTGGGTTTGCAGATTTGTGGAGGGCATCTCATATGTGGCAGAGTTCGGGGGCGAGGAGTATAGCATGGTGCAGCAGTTTGATGGGCAGCCTCTTCGTTTTTTTCAGGCCCAGAGCTGATCGATTGGTTCGCGCTCTTCGACGCAGAAATGCTACGGGCAGCCTATCTGTCCATCGGGATCCCTCCACCCACTTGGGCCCCGCCTCCCGAAGTACCAGGGCTCCCAGAGGCCCAGCCTGAAGACGGCGATCACGGGCGCGCCGTCCCTGGCCGCTCCAGATGGCTCCAGAGCATAACGCAGGCGCCTGTTCACTTACATAATCATCATGGCCGAAGATCTGTTCTCGGCACGGCTGTAGTGAACAACCGATGTTTCGCGTGCGACGGTGCGCTTGAATCCAGGAATTCAGCGCGCAAGCGCGCGGTCGATTCGCTCAAGAGTGGCATTTGTGTCAAACCGCCGCACGACGCTCAGAAACCCGACCCCCTCGGTCTCGGACTGTCCGCCACGCGAGGTTCATGCTGCTGATCCACGCCAACTTTCCCATCATCTTCGCGCGCGCGCCACGCGCGTTCCCTGGCTGCTTGACTGCGGCAGGCATGTCCAGCCCTTCGCGGTAGCTCGGCAAGCGTCGGCCGACCCATGGGGCAGGCGGCGACGGACGGAGGGTTTCGCGCTGCGGAGACGGCCATTGCAGAGCGCAGGGGAGGCAGCGCGACAAAGGGCCACCATGGCCTCATGCATTCACGGCGTCGGCGCCGCACTGCATCGACAGCATGGGGGCGACGGCTCAAGGCGCGGAGGCGCCGGCACTGGCAGCGCTCAAGCACCACTGGTCGCAGGTGATCAGGGGTGGCAAAGCGGAGACGTTGAGGGCCCTAGCGGAACATGTCACTGTCGCGCACGAGCACGCTGGTTCAACAAGAAGGCGGGAAAGAAGGAGGCAGACGCGTTCGAGCTGCAGTTCGTGATGGGCCCATATCTTCAGAGCCGAGTGGTGACACTGGACAGCCAGCAGGCGACAAGCACGCGCCAGGAAGGAAGGAGGCAAGATCAAAGCAGGAGCTGCCCCGAAAGGGGCTCTGGAACGAGATGCAGAGCGCCCCCACCCCCCCCCCCCCCCAGAAGTCTGGAGTGGCCCCAGACGGGATTCAAAAGCACCTGAACGACCGAGTTCATTGGATTTGAGTGATGCAGCATTGTTTTTCCCAACCATCCTGTGGTGTTGGGTCCTCGCTTTGAAGAGACGGTGCCCCGCGTTCCCGCTCCCGCTCCTCCTCCCCCTCCTCTCTCCTCCCTGCGTTTCACCCGCCCAGTGCAGCGCTTCGTGGCCCCATAGGGAGCTCCACCGAAGGCCCCAGTGGCAGGGTTCGCACGGCGGCCTCGGACCATTTCGGCACACCCCTCTCGAGGATCGTGGCCCCATTGGGAGCTCCGCCGAAGGCTCCAGTGGCAGGGTTCGCATGGCGGCCTCGGGCCATTTCGGCGCACCCCTCTCGAGGATCGTGGCCCCATAGGGAGCTCCACCGAAGGCGCCAGTGGCAGGGTTCGCATGGCGGCCTCGGGCCATTTCGGCACACCCCTCACGAGGATCGTGGCCCCATTGGGAGCTCCACCGAAGGCGCCAGTGGCAAGGTTCGCACGGCGGCCTCGGGCCATGTCGGCACACCCCTCTCGAGGATCGTGGCCCCATAGGGAGCTCCACCGAAGGCCCCAGTGGGAGGGTTCGCATGGCGGCCTCGGGCCAATTCGGCACACCCCTCACGAGGATCGTGGCCCCAGAGGGAGCTCCACCGAAGGCCCCCAGCGGCGGGGTTCGCATGGCGGCCTCGGGCCATTTCGGCACACCCCTTTCGAGGATCGGCACCCATCAGGGAGCTCCACCGAAGGCGCCAGTGGCAGGGTTCGCATGGCGGCCTCGGGCCATGTCGGCACACCCCTCTCGAGGATCGTGACCCCATAGGGAGATCCACCGAAGGCGCCAGTGGCAGGGTTCGCATGGCGGCCTCGGGCCATTTCGGCACACCCATCACGAGGATCGTGGCCCCATAGGGAGCTCCACCGAAGGCGCCAGTGGCAGGGTTCGCACGGCGGCCCCGGGCCATTGCGGCACAACCCTCACGAGGATCGTGGCCCCATACTTGTGCTGCTTCAACAACCGCGCCTGGGCGTCGTACTCCGCCTTGTCGACGTGCAACGCCACCTCCTCCCTCATGGCTCTCAAGGCCCTTTCCTGCTTCTGCTCCTCGGTGAGAGGGGCGCCGTCCTTGTCGTCGTCGGCGCCCGCGAAGACGGCCACGAACGTGTACCTGAGCATGTCGGGCTCCGGCGGGAAGCCGTGGCCACATAGGGAGCGCGGGCGGAGATGGTATTCACAATTGAGGTATTCACAACTGCATATGGTTGGGTCTTTCGCCAGGTTTTTTTTTTGCGCCGGTGTAGACTTCTATTTCTGGTGGCGAGTACCCAGAACCCCGCGAGCTAGTGCGACCCCCGCGCACGCAGTTCGGCCAGCGTTAGAACTCATGGTGCCAGGCCGCCTCCGTCGAGGATGAGGCGCCCTGCTCGTCTCATGTTGATCCGGGAGTGTATTTGGATGTTGGACTTGGCCTGGGGCCATTTCGGGCACTCCCAGTACGAATTGCTCCGAAGAGCGCCCGAGGTCCCATTTTGCAGCACCGATCGGGCGAGATCACCTTCGAGGCCCTATTCTGTTGAGCCCCATGGCTATTCAAATGACGGTGGTTCAGGCTCGTCAGAGAGTTGCACAGGTCAGGACGGTTTCTATTGTTCGTTCGCTGCTGATGCGCGCGCCTCGAGCGCGCTGCTGGCCCCTCCACCACCGCCCGAGCCCTGGCAACCCGAATCCAACCAGTAGAGTTTCGCATGTAATGCCGCGGCCCCCTCCGCTCCTTGCCTTTCCTCCCCCGCCCCCTCCTTCCCTCCCGCGGCCGTTGCTGTTGCCTGCTATCGCCCTTCTCCTGGCCTCGTGTGCGTGAGTGTGTGTGCGTGTGTGGGTGTGTGCGTGCGAGCGAGCGTGCAAGCGTGCGTGCGTGCGTGCGCGTGTATGTGTGTGCGTGTGCGTGTGCGTGCGTGTGCGTGTGTGTGTGCGTGTGTGTGTGTGTGTGCGTGCGCGCGTGCGTGCGTGCGTGCGGGCGGGCGGGCGCGTGCGTGCGTGCGTGCGTGCGTGCGTGCGTGCGCGCGCGCGTGCGTGCGTGCGTGCGTGCGTGCGTGCGTGCGTGCGCGTGCGTGCGTGCGTGCGTGTGTGTGCGTGTGCGTGTGTGCGTGTGTGTGCGTGTGTGTGCGTGTGCGTGTGCGTGTGTGCGTGTGCGTGTTGTGTGCGTTTGTGCGTGTGTGCGCGCGTGCGCGCGCGCGCGCGTGCGCGCGCGCGTGCGTGCGTGCGCGTGCGTGCGTGCGCGTGCGTGCGTGCGCGTGTGTGCGTGCGCGCGTGCGTGTGTGCGCGCGTGTGTGCGCGTGTGCGCGTGTGCGCGTGTGCGCGTGTGCGCGTGTGCGCGTGTGCGCGTGTGCGCGTGTGCGCGTGTGCGCGCGTGTGCGCGTGTGCGCGCGTGCGCGTGTGCGCGTGTGCGCGTGTGCGCGTGTGCGCGTGTGCGCGTGCGCGTGTGCGCGTGTGCGCGTGTGCGCGTGTGCGCGTGTGCGCGTGCGCGTGTGCGCGTGTGCGCGTGTGCGCGTGTGCGCGTGTGCGCGTGTGCGCGTGTGCGCGTGTGCGCGTGTGCGTGTGCGTGTGCGTGTGCGTGTGCGTGTGCGTGTGCGTGTGCGTGCGTGTGCGTGTGCGTGCGTGTGCGTGTGCGTGTGTGTGTGTGCGTGTGTGCGTGTGCGTGTGCGTGTGCGCGTGTGCGTGTGCGTGTGCGCGTGCGCGTGCGCGTGCGCGTGTGCGTGCGCGTTCGCGTGCGCGTGCGCGCGCGTGTGCGTGTGCGTGTGCGTGTGCGTGTGCGTGTGCGTGTGCGTGTGCGTGTGCGTGTGTTTTGCGTGTGTGGTGCGTGTGTGCGTGTGTGCGTGTGTGCGTGTGTGCGTGTGTGCGTGTGTACGTGTGTGCGTGTGTGCGTGTGTGTGTCTGTGTCTGTGTCTGTGTCTGTGTCTGTATCTGTATATGCGTCTGTGTCTGTGTCTGTGTCTGTGTCTGTGTCTATGTGTGTGCGTGTGCGTGTGCGTGTGCGTGTACGTGTACGTGTGCGTGTGCGTGTGCGTGTGCGTGTGTGAGTGTGTGTGTGTGTGTGTGCGTTTGTGTGTGTGCGTGTTCGCGTTGGTGGTGTCCTGTTCCTTCTCGCCCGTAGTTTCCGCTCTTCCCCTTGACGAGTCATTGGTGGGCTGCGACCTAGGATTGGTTTGGGGGAGGTTCCCTACTTTTTTTTCATCGCGCACCTGCCGCTGGAGGATGGTGCCCCTGCAGGATGTCATGGGCTCTTCCCCATCAGACGTTCTTCCTCAAGGCCAGAGGTCTTCCCTCAGCGAGGCCGCGGGCTATAGTCCCGTGGCATCCGCAGATTATTATACGTATCCCCGGTCAGTTTTCAACGCGTTGCAATCAGGAGAGACAAGCCAAGGTCGCAAGCGTTCCGCTCCAGTCTGGTCCTCTTCCGTCTCCTCCTCTTCTCAGTGCAACCCAAGTGGGCATCGTTTGTGCCGAGCCTCCCGCGCCAGGAAGGCCCGGGCGTGCTCCCCAAACTAGGGGAGACCGGCAATGGGCAAGTGGTCCTTTCCTTTTTTCCTTTTCTCTTTTTTCCTCCGTCCTCATCCCCTTCCTCCTTACTATAGATGTGTCCTTTTCTCCTCGTCCTCCTCCTCCTCCGTCATCCCCCTTCCCGTTTTCCCCGTCCTGCTCCTGCCTCCTCCCCCGCGCGCGGTCAGCCCCGTGGCACGCACCGCGAGGCGCACGGCTTCGGCAGCGACGCCGACCTTGTGAGCTTCTCGCTCGCCAAGGCTGGGTTGGCGTTTGGAGCGCGGGCTTGGAGACCGCCCCTCCCCCTCCTTTTCCTTGTCCTCCTCTTCCTTCCCCTCCCCCTCCTCCTCCTCCTCCTCCTCCTCCTCTTCCTCCTCCTCCTCCCTCTTCCTCCTCCTCCCCCTCCTCCCCGTCCTCCTCCTCCTCCTGCTCCTCCTCCTCCTCCCTCTTCCTCCTCCTCCTCCTCCCCCTTCTCTCCGACTGTATCTGCCATCAATCTTCCCTTTTCCTCCACCAATTATCATCATCATCAGCATAATCGTCTTCATCATCAGCAGCAGTAACACTGCCAGTTGCAATTTCGTCTTCATCAGCAGCAGATTCATCCTTCGGTTCCTCTTCCTCATCATCATCACCAATATCATCCTCACCATCGTCAGCAGCATCATCATTATAATTACCTTCGTCATGGGCATCAGCATTAGCATCATTATCATCATCATCCCCATCATCACCATCATCATCATCGTCGTCGTCGTCATCATTATCGCCATCACCATCATCAGCATCATCGTCATCATCATGATCGTCGTCCTCGTCATCGTCATCGTCGTCACCATCATCAGCACAATCAGCATCATCATCACAACCATCATCATCATCATCATCGTCATCGTTGTCATCAACTTCAGCATCATCATCACAAGCACTAGCATCAGCATCATCGCCATCGCCAGCATCATCATCATCATCAGCATCACCATAATTATCATCAGCCTCACTAACATCAACATGATTACCCTCACTATCATCATCACCTTCACCATCATCATCCTGATCATCACCACCATCATCATCAACAACAACATCTCATCCCCTCACAATCATCATCATCATCATCATCATCATCATCACCATCTACCAAATCATCATCGTCACAAGCATCATCATCACCGTCATCGTCATCACCATCAGCATCATCATAAACAATAAGATTATCTTCATAGGCATCAGCATCAACCGCATCACCATCATCACAGTATACCATCATCACCATCATGAGCAGCGTCATCACCATCATCACCATCATCATCAGCGTCATCACCATCATCAGTATCAGCATCAATAGTACCACCAGCGTCGCAATATCATCAGCATAGCCATCATCACCACCATCACCACCACCATCATCATGAACAAAGTCAACATCATCAACAACAGCAAGATCATCACCACCATCATCATCAATAAGAACATCAACATCATCACCATCACCAACCTCAACAGCATCATCATCAGCATTAGCATCATCGTCTTCATCACTAGCATCAGCATCTTCACCAGCATCATCATCACCGTAATCATCATCGTTCACAACATCAACATTATCACCATCAACAGCAACATCAACATCATCATCATGACCATCATCATCACCGCCATCTTCATCACCATCAGCATCATCATCATCATCAGCATCATCATTGTCATCATCACGATCATCATCAACCTCATCAACGTCATCATCGTTAGCATCATGATTATCACTACCAGAAGCGTCGTCATCATCATCAACATGATCATCGTCAGCACCACCATCATCAACAACAGCATCGACATCATCATCACCACAAGCACCAGCATCGACATCATCATTTTCAACATCATCTTTACCATCATCTGCAACATCAACACAATCACCATGATCAGTCACATCAAAATCATCATCATGATCATCTGGATCATCACCATCATCCTCATCATCATCATTACCATCATTAACATCATCGTCATCAGGGCTCGAGCCGGCTACCGCGCCCGTAGCCCCCATTCGCCGCGCGTTGTGTTGCAAGTTTGATTTATTGTATTCGGAGGTGTTTCTCGTAATGGCGCCCGAACCTGTCGTGAGGTGCCAGGCGACCTCGATGATGACAGTATTGAAGCGAGTGGGATATCTTTGGGCAGCGCTGGCGTCGGATTACTGCCGATCGGATCGATGTGATGCGTGGCGCAACTTGTCTCGAATGGACCTGCTGGAGACCGAGGCCCAGCCGAAGCAGGAGCCCAACCACAAGGCAGGCCCGGAGAAAGAGATAGGGGAGGACAAGAGTTATGACATTCCTCGAACATTCGATCTTGCGTCCGCGATGGTTTTGCCTTCAATATTTGTGACGCCTCTTCCGAGGAGGATGGAGCCGCTTCTTCATAGGACTCTGCGATTGTTGACAATGCAACTGCCGACGTACTCCCGCTTTCTGTTTGTATACAATACAATGATTATCGTGTTGATGAAGTCGTGGCCGAGTTGGAAAGGCTCGCCTCGGCAATTGAAAACGTGTTGAGTGCAGTCCCAAAGCCGAGTGTTGACTTCGATGGTCAAAGATACGCTCGCAGGCACTATATCCAGGAGCTCCGCGGGCAAAGCCGAGCTCTCCGAAAACATTTGCGAACGAACGTCGAATGCTATATTCGAGGACCTCGCACACTGTGCAATCGAGGTTCGGAGAGGCTGTCTGGACAGCACGAAACAACACATGCAATTGCTGGAGAGCCTGTTGGAAGGAATGCGTCAACAGTGGATCCGAGACGACATGTCGAAACACATCTGGAAACGCCTCTTCGACAAAAGTGATGAATTCTATGAGGACTGTGTGGGTGTGCTCGAGGCTTTGCTGCGACACCCTTTTCTCAATCTGATACCAGATATGATTCGCAAGTCGGGGTAAATTGCAGGTTGAATTGAACAAGCGATTTTGGCCCAACTCACAATGCATGGTTGGCAGACCAGGCGACAGGGTGCTCCTGGCCTATGGTGCTGCCGACGCGTTGGCACGAACCTCATATGTATGTAGTGCTACACGTTTTTGGGGAGGAAGCCCCGGAGCTTGCAGTCACATGTAGTCCTTTGATTCCCCCTCAGCCTGCTGATAGAGAGGAGGTGGTGACATCAACATCATCACCATCATGACCATAATTATCAGGCACATCCTCAACATCAGAATCAACAATACCATTTCATCACTGCAATCATCTGCACCATCAACAACATAAACATCACCATCACCAGCATCACCAGTCTCAACAACCGCATCAGCACCATCATCAACAGCATCATCACCACCGTTCACATCGCCATTCTCAGTATCACCTCAACAGTCAACAGCCTTATCATCGTCAACCACATATCATCATCACCATCAGTTTCAACAATATCAACATTACCACTACCATCACAATCGTCATTACCATCATCACAATCATCATCAACAACATCAACAGCCAAATCACCATAATCACCAACAGCATCATCAATTACATCATCATCATTGCCATCACCTTCATCAACAACATCAGCATCATCATCACCAACACGATCAACAGTTGCGTCATCACATTTCAGCATCACTATTGGCATCCCTAACGGCAACAACAGCGACATCGTTATCATCGGCATCGCCAACAAAATCCACCTTATCATCAGCACAACCAACCTTCAACACCATCCGCGTCAACACAATCATCACCAACATCATCACATCATCACAATCATCACCACCACCAACATCACCATCACCATCACCAGCATCGTCAGCATCACCATCATCATCGCCATCATCGTTACCACCAGCATCATCAACATAATCATCAGCATCAGCATGCAGCATCGACAACAGCAACATCATCATCACCATCATCACCACTACCATCATCGTTATTTTCATCGGCATCATCATCGCCATCGCTGTCCTCATCATCAGCATCAGTATCAGCCTCATCATCAGTGTCATTACCATCACCACGCCCATGATCATCATAATCACTGTCATCATCACCATCACCATCATCAGCATTACCAGTATCTCCATCGTTATCATCATTACCATCAGCATCGTCATCGTCATCATCATTATCGCCGTCATCATCATCACCACCATCATCATCATCATCATCATCATCATCATCATCATCATCATCCGTGTCATCCTCGTTGTCGTCAACATCATCATCATCATCGTCGTTATCCTCGTCGTCATCATCATCGTCGTCATCCTCCACCCAGTTATGTTGCACACCATTTTTCGTACTGCCGCTGCCCGCTCGAGTTTCCACACTGGCTGGCCCCAGCGGGGGCCTGAGGAGGCCGGGCGGTCTATCCAGGACGCCCCAGGCTGCTTCCCGAGGACGCCCCATACGTTCGAAGGCCTCTCCGATGCGGAGGGCTATCCATAACCGCCGCTTGGGGGATCGATTTTCGGGGACCTGGTGGCTTGGGAGGGGCAAAATAGATACATGCATGCCCGCATGAATACATGCATCCATGCATACACGCATGCATGAGTACATGCATACATACACACATATACATATACATATACACATACATATACCCTGCCACACCTTACCATCTATTCGTCTGTACATTTAGGCACTCGAGGCCGCCACATAGGGTGGAGGCCGCATGACCGCCGCGAGCAGGGACATCGCTTCGAGTTTAATTAATGAGTTTCGAGCCGATGTTTGTTGCTGCCAGGCTAGACTCGCTATGACATCGGAGCCAATGATGCGAATGAATGAATTAATGAACTATATATATACATATATATATATGCATAGTACATACATCAGTACATATATACAGCTATATATGTCTACATCTAAACAAACATGATTGTACCCATATTACCTCCAAACGCACATGGTCAAACACATGTACAGGTATATGTACATGCACATTGGCACATACATATGAATATGCATAATCATATACAAATACATGTATATAAACACATTCGCGTACGCATACATGCGACATATATGCATACATGTATGTATGTACTTATGTTTATGAAACCACACATTTGTAGTGGCATTCGACCCATGCCGACACCGTGCCTGGCTTGTGGTTCAGAGTTGTCATGGGTGTTTCTTCGGGTCTCTTCGGGGCGCTCTCGGTGGCCTCTTGGGGGCAGTCCTGGTGCCTCTTAGGAGCCAGGTTGGGGCCTCTTGGGAGACCTTTGGGGCCTCTTGAGACTCTTGGGGC